GGCCTCATCACTCCACAGATTTACAAAGAACATTGAGTGATGATTAGATAACTATCCCCCAAGCCTACAGGTGGAAGCTGGGGTGGAAGCTGGGGTGGTGGTGGTGGTGGGGTGGTGGTGGGGCAGGCGAGCAGCAGCAACATGAAACACAGCAGCAGGAACATGAACGCAGCAATAGCAAGTGAACACAGCAGTAGCATAGCGAGGGAAGACCTAGCAGCTTAAATAGAGCGGCATGTTTAGGAGAATGTGTTTGGTTGGTTGTAAGAGGGACGAGGTGCGTCACGTGTTAATGTATCGTTGGTGCTCGAGTTGACTGCCTGAACTAGCTCGCAGGCTTCGCCCCATTTGTGTGTAAAGATAATAAAAGATAATAAAATAGCAAAATGGACAATCCGAATGACAAAAATAATAATCTGAACGTGTATATAAAAAAAAATACGGATCCAGGAGGATGTCAACAATCTTCCAGGTGTTGTCAGAAAAGTGTGCATTAGGCAGGAAACGCCGTTCCCATTTATGCCTGAAATGCATCAGAGAGGAGAAAACTCTTTGATGTTACCTTGCCTCTTCCTTTCCTCTTTCATTCCTCATTTTGTTTTTCTCGCTGCTACTCTTCCAGTCTTCAAGCCGGAGGAGCTGCGCCAGGCTCTGATGCCGACCCTGGAGGCTCTGTACCGGCAGGACCCCGAGTCCCTGCCCTTCCGCCAGCCGGTGGACCCCCAGTTACTGGGAATACCCGTACGTATTCGAACTAGTAACAACACTAACCTGGTAAGGGACTGCACTGGCTGCCATTTTGCTTCCTCTGAAAACTTACCTTTTTTTATAATTTTTTTTATTCTTTGTTTTCATTTTTTCATCTTACATTTTTATTTCTCCTTTTATCATATATGTCTGAGTTCTATTTTAAAACATCTGCTTCGAGTTTATTTAATCTTTTAGTTTTTCTCCCATGGTATGACAGAAGTTAGGAAAATTAGATTTGAAAGTGTGTTTGTGTGTTTCCTTTAGGGCTGTGCGATTATGGCAAAAATCATAATCACGATTATTTGGGTCAATAATTGATATCACGATTATTAAATACGATTATTCATTGACTTTGAAAAAATCCATTTATTGAACTTTAAAACAAATACAAATAATAATTTGAACAGTATCTTTTTAACTGTTGATTACCCTGAACGTATAATTCAACTGAAAAACCAATACACAAATAAATGATACATTTAAATAAATAATATCAAAATAATAAATACCAATAAACAAGATCAACAAATATTTTGGAGCGCACTTCCACAAGCTACTAAACATATATAAATATGATAAATACAAATAAATGAGACCAAAATAAATTAGATCAAATATGTTGCAGTGCACTGTCACAACCTAGCAAAGCAAAATAATTTTTTCGATTATGTTGTTTTCGTAATTGTGGCAGGCCAAAATTGTAATTGCGATTAAAATACGATTAATTGCACAGCCCTAGTTTCCTTTTTTTTTTTTTTGACTTCTTGTCTTTAGTAAATCAAAGCAATGACTCGTAAGAACAGTTGCCTTTAGTTTGATGGAACTGTAACAACGTCCAAAAGTAAATCATATTTGATACGAAATGTTCACATGGAAATTAAGATTTTTGTGTTGACAACGCAATTGTAAATTATATTTGTCGAACCCTGAATATAATAATCGAACAAAAATGTAATCTAAGACATCCATCAGAGTATTATTTTTAATAAATAAATACCTCTTTCCACTCCAAATACATTAAAAAGGCCATTATGTCATCACTATGTCCAAAGAAAGGACTTCATTCACTCCAACTGTTCATGAGTCAATTGCTTTCATTTATCACTTATTATTTGTTTGACTATTACATTTTAGGTTTTATTTTAAATCATGTTTTTTTTCTTTTTTAGTCTTCATCCCATTGCTAGCTTTCTAGTTCAGTTCCTCACCAGTAGTAGTGTGTCGGTGTTCAAGCGGCAGTGTGCAGAGGTGGGACAATGACTTTAACCCTCATTACATCCAAATTAGAGGGAAACAAATCCTCAATTCAAAATAAGATTCAGTATGTGCTTACATACAGTTTAAAATCACTAAACATTGAAAACTGAGTGAAGGTGTCCGTCCCCCCGCTGCCTCGTGCAATGTGAAATTTAATAAACGCAATTTCTAGAGCAGTGATGAGCGAGCATGAGGCTATTGGCTCATCTCTACAAGTCAAGTGATGCAACTAACTACTGTTGTGTGATTATATAACTCAATCATTTGGCTGCGAGTTGTAATATGTATCACTTTTTCTGATATATTCAAGACAAAGGGTCTGCTTACTAACTGTTTTTGCTATGGTGACACCAAGATGGACCCTGATCTTTTGAATGAACACCTCCTCTTATTCAAACTTTGGTTGATTTTCCAAAAAAAGTATTTTTTTTTTCTCGCATATTCTCAAGTCCTTTCTCAAATTGGGTTTTGAGGAGCAGCAGGAAAGGAAATTTGGATTCTTATGCGCCTCCTCTTTACATTTGCTTCCCTTCAGCACTGTTGGCTTTAACTCCTGCCATAGAATTGCCCCGTGTTAACGCCAGACACTTGCTTATATAAAAAAAACAGTGAATCTCTGTCTGCCTGTTGCTGTTGCCACTGCACTGTTTCTTCTTGGTTTTGCACCCTAAATGCTTTCCGAGGCTGAAAGGCTTCAGACTTCAACAGAGAACCACCAACCCCCCATGCAGTGTTAGTGTTAGCACTGTGTGGCTAAATGACAAGTTTATATAATGATTTTCACTCATTTAGCTTTAGTTGCAATAGAGTGGCGCAGGAATGAGTTTTCAAACATGGAAATTAGTCAGTATTTGACCACTTTCTTGTCTAAAAGTTTTTTCTTGTTGGGGTTCAAGGCCTGCAATAAGGACTGTGGTTGACACTAGTTTGTGATATTTTCAAGTTTTGTTCTACGACAAAGAATACGTCAGTAAATACCCCACTGTTAAATATCTGAACCTAACAAGTGGCTAAGGCAATTCAAAGTGCTGTACAAAAAATGAACAATATTCAGATATAGTGCAGCAGAAACACATTATAAAGTGACATTTAAATACATTTTTAAGGACGATAAAATAAAAGAAACCAGCTAAAATAGAAAAAGATGGGTATAAAACACAAGAATCAAAATTACAGTGCATTACGTTAGCTTTTAAATGTTGTTGATTGCATTTTCACTTTAAAAATCATAAAGTGGCGTTAATATGTGGAGATGATCCTGCTGAACAATAAGTGTAAGTATCATAAACGTGTGTTTGCCACTGATCTTATTTTCTGCAATACTCCAAAATCCAATGAAAATATCCCATTGGCTTTTTGACAAGAGAGCCATCATGATGCTAACTCCGTCATCCCTGCACCTAAAGAATATATACAAAACATGTTAGCTTAAAGGTGGGGTAGGTAATTCACTTCAGAAACACTTTTTGTTATATTCCATGGAATGCTCTTAACATCCCGATAGCAATGAATATATTAAATGCTTTGACAAAAAATATATAAAAACATGTCATCTGTGGAAGCCGTGGCGCTGTAAAAAGCACGACCAATCATCTGAGCCGGCCGGCTAAAATAACTGGATGGCCTACCTGCCTGTCAGCCTTCCATCTCGTGCACAAACTTATCTCGTGCCCTCATTGGTCATGTGCGCATTCGTGTGTGTTGGAGGAGGGGCTCTGTAAGGAAGTCTGAAGGAAGGGGCAGATTTTTTCCGGTTGTGTACTTTCAAATTCTAGCGCACTCAAGCTGGTTTCTCCATTCTCACCTACCCTACCTTTAAGCTAGTTTCTTTGTAGTATTTAGCGGTAGAGGACTGGACAGACTTGTGGCGGTTTCCTGGTCCCTGAACGCAGCACAAATTGAAATGAGGGTGCAAAGCAGAGAGCTGGAGGGCAGAAGTTGTCATGTCTCTCTGTTTGCACGCGAACTTTCTCTTCTGCAGCGCTCAACAACCTTGTCCTCCCTGCACCCCTCTTCTTCTCTCCCTCCTCTGGTCCCGTCTGGATCATCTCACCTGATGACCACAACCCTGATGCTGACGGTCATACTGTTCTGTCCCCTATTTCTCTCCCCCCTCAACCACTTTACCACATGATCCTGAACGGTGGCTCCTAAAGCAGGACTACTTTGACATCGTGAAAAGCCCCATGGACCTGTCGACCATCAAGAGGAAGCTGGACACGGGGCAGTACCAGGAGCCGTGGCAGGTACGTGGACGACATCTGGCTGATGTTCAACAACGCCTGGCTGTACAACCGCAAGACGTCGCGCGGTCTACAAGTACTGCTCCAAACTGGCCGAGGTGTTCGAGTCCGAGATCGACCTCGTCATGCAGGGCCTCGGGTACTGCTGCGGGAGGAAGGTGAAGGCGTGGTTTGTTTTCTAATGTTGTCTGGTCCCAGATGAGGATTATTCCCTTAGTGAAGACATATTTGCTAGTTGGGTCAGGATTGGGTTTGCGGTTTAGATTTAGTGGAAAATATTCCTTTGTTTTATTTTTATTTGAAGTTCAGTTATCCATGTTTTAAGGTTTTTCCAGTACAATTACACTCAAGAAAACAAGAAACAAGGGGTTGTTTTCTGTTTTGAGAGACAGAAAATACAGGCAGGTAGTAATCAAGGCATATTTAAGCAAAGGAAAGGCTGCTCTGGAAAGCTTTTTCCAACTCTCTCCAAGCTTTCTCAAAGTATTGTGTACAAGTTATTATTTCCATTACAAGGATTTCAATTATAATATCATACCGGTTTAAGACATGTCCTTGTAATTGCTTTCTAGCAGCTATTGTTTTATATTCCTATGAGAATAATGATATATTCTCGTAAGTGTTTGTTGAATATTGAGAATGCAGCCACCAGTTTGTTAGCTTTAGCATAATTTTAGCATTTAGATAAGGGTTAAGGTTTAAGCAAGATGAGATTAATCTAGAGGAAGCGTGCAAATGTGTTCTGATTTTAGTCGAAGTGGATCCTAGTTCACTTATCATGGCTGAGGAGGACACTGATATAGTGTAATGTATTCAGTTTGTGATCAAATATTCCTCAGGATAACAAATCCTGACACATCTGTTTTCATTTTGCCTCTTTATCTCTGCAGTTTGAGTTTTCCCCCCAAACTCTGTGCTGCTATGGAAAACAATTATGTACCATCCAACGAGACGTTGCCTATTTCAGTTACCAGAACAGGTAAGGGCTTTCGGCGCATTGGAAACACATGGCCTTTTTATTTGGTTTTTAGAAAATATTATGGACACCTTGCTGTTGTGGTTTCTGCACATTGTGTATTATATTTCCTGTATGCAACCAGTGCAATCACAGAGGAGGTTTTAATTTGGCTTTCAAATGGTTACCCTGCACCAACTTCCATCTTCATAGCTCACCGTTTTATTAATTCCATTTTGTGTTCATTATAAAGTGGGCTCCGTCTTCCTAAGCACTCACTGGACTAACTCTACAAGCACAACTCTTGCATTTGTCTATGATCAACTTGCATAAATAACTGCAGAAGGAAGTGTTGCATCCATGTTCACCACCAGAAGAAAGGTTCCCACTTATGAATGAGGCTGAAGGATGATGGGTCTCTGTGCTTTACCGTTTATTTTTTTCTCTCATCAACCCTCATGTCCTGAGACTCATACACCCCCCCCCCCCCCTCTCCCCCCCCTCCTCTTCCTCAGCTCCTAGTGGTCTCTCATGTTGCTGTAATGTTGTTGTTGTTTACCACTGGACGTCTGACGCTAATCTTTGCTTTGCCTTGGCTCTCTGTCCTCTGTTGTTGTTGTTCACATCCTGTCCCCCCCCTCTGTCCCCCCCCCTCTGTCCCCTCCATTGTCCTACCGTAACGACTATTTCACGCTTCTTATAATTCATTTTGACTCCCCTTTCCCCGTCCTTCTCCCCCCTTCTCTCCCTCCTTTTTTTTAACGCTTGTGATGTCTGCATTGGCCTGTTTTGGTGTGACCAATCATCCACTCCAAAATTTGCGCGCAAAATCAAAACACGCGCCCACTCAAAAACCCTGCATCACGATTGGCTGCTTCCTCCTGGCGACGACCTTCCTTGCCCTCTGCCTCCTCCTGTGTGTCCTGCCCTGCCCTGATTGGCGGCTGCTTCTTCGTGCCCTCTCTGTGATTGGCTGTGCTGATGACGAACGGTGTAGTTCACCAAAATATGGGCTTCTTGCTGACAGGTACCACTTCTGTGAGAAGTGTTTCAACGAAATCCAGAGCGAGACCGTTTCCCTGGGGGACGACCCCTCCCAGCCTCAGACGTGAGTACCGTCACACACTTCCTGTCTTACACACACACACGCACACACACAACACACACACACACACACACAGCAGACAACACAACACACAGCAGACAACACAACACACCCCATAAAAACATAGAGATTCTCATATAATGCTTGTCCAGATGAGCAGTTATGCAATTCTGATATTAGTAGCATCAAAGATCTAATGTACCAACTTTAATAAGCTCCCTTTTTTTGGAATTCAATCAACCAAAAATTGGAAGCAATAAATTTAAGGTAGGATTTATTGACATCAAACAATCAAAATGCTATAAATATCGTCAATTTTAGACATTGGGTGTTTCTCAATGTCGAGGACGCTTCCTTGGTAGGACCATGTCTTCCGAGTCACTTCCTTCAGAAGCGAGGCAAGAATCCTTCCTGGCATTCGGAAACGAAGAGTGGAACAGGTGTGCAGGGTGTGCGTCATATGAGAGCCCCGCCTTAAATTTTCCGCCACAGATTTTGGGAAATTGGTTTGTGCGCAAAGCATTGTGGGGATTTTAAGACCGCGGAGGATACACATGTGCAGCCTCGAAATTTCTCGCCGGGCTCGGTAGAATTCCAAGGAGCCTGGACATTGGAACAGTCCTTCGGCGGCACTCGATGACGTAGCAATCCTTGAAATAGTGGCTCTGGAGCATCCTTCCTTGACATTAAAGAAACACCCATTAACCCAAATAATCATCAAACTATGCTTTAAAACACTAACACTGAACTAACTACCTTATTCTTTCTTTTAAGCAAATATAAATATTTTGTTTCTTAGCAAAAAGTAGGACATCCCTTTTTTTGTAAAAAACATTTTTTTTGAATGAAAACATTTCATCTTCATAGGAGAGCATAAATCATAAGGTTGGCTGCAAAGAATAAAGAAATAATTAGCAATGTGGTGTGGGTCTGTCTCTTCCATGTGAATACCTGTCATTTTTTGAATGATACTCGATTTTTCATTTCTCTGGCATGATAGTGATTTAGACGCTTTTTAAAGTCACTCATGTGAGGATAATCATGATTATCCCGATAATGGAAATTCACAAGGATCCACTGGTACAGATAAATACAATAACATAACATTTAATGAGAGAGATGATAATAGGTATATAAAAACAGCTCAATTAGGATTTGGAATCAAATAAAAAATATCCAAGTGTGTATGGAGATGCAATTTGCAAGATAACGTGACTTATTATCCTTTTAACATCCCGTCGTCAATCCAGGTAGTAATTGAGGACATATGGGGTTAACCATGAGTGAAACAATCAAGCATAAGACTAGTTTTAAGGCTGCACCAGTTCAATCAAATGTACATATTAAACCGTAGCCATCTAGTGTATCATATTCCCAAAGTTAAGCATCACATTTTTGGTATGTTTGGAAACGATTAGATCTTTAACAGAAGTTGAAGTATATTCCCGTTGAGCTTCAACATCCATTTGTAAAATAATGAGGTTGGCTCATTTTATGAATTGGGAATGCCAAATGTTTCTGCTTCTCCTATATGAAGATTTGATCCATATCTATAGGCGCTTTCACACCAAGTACTTTGCCGTACTTAGTTCATCAGAACTCTTTAGTTCTGATGAACTATCTAGTAGATCGCGTTCACACCGGAATAAGTCCCTGAGGGAGGATTAGTTAAATGAAGCCGCTGACGTCACTTCTTCTTCTGCTTTGGGTTTACTGGCAGGCCGCAAACAACTTCACGGCGTATACTACCACCCGAAGTCCCCGGCATAAGTCCCCGGAGTTGGGGACTGGCTTCAGTAGAAGCTGCTGGGACTCCCAGCAGCTTCTACTGAAGCCTTCCGAGTAAATCGCCAGAACGCCGACACCTCCTCATCTCCACCGCTCCCACGTTTTATTTTGTGTTGCCATAAGTTAGTCTCTCTGCGTTTCTGCGCTGGGCTAATGCTAATGCTAATAATGCTAATGCGAGGATAATAAAATGGCGGCTTCACAAAACCTTTTTGGAGTTTTACGGGGCGTGGTTTGCAATCCGCCCAGCCAATCAGAAATGGGAACCTTTTTCTCCCACGGAAGTACCTTTTCCCTCTAGCAGGGACTGAAAAGGGGCTGGAAAGGTTCTCAAGAACTAAGTTCTAGTTCCGGATTTTTTTTGGTGTGAACGCACATTTCGGAACTATATCGGAACTATACATGGAAAAGTACTCCGGTGTGAAAGCGCCTAATGTGTTATATTTTTTTAAAACAGACATTTGTTATGTTCCTTGTAGTTTTGGAGGGTTATTTCACTTGATGACATTTTACAAACCTAATTGAAATATGAATCTGTATTGATATTAATTGATAATTGCAGCTTAAAGGTGAGGTAGGTAAGTTTGAGAAACCGGCTCGAGATACACTTTTTGTTATATTCCATGGAATGCTCTTAACATCCCGATAGCAATGAATATCTTAAGTGCTTTGACAAAAAATCCATAAAAAAAATGTCATCTGTGAAGCCGTAGTACTGTAAAAAGCCTACGACCAATCATTTTAGCCGGCCCGGCTAAAATAACTGGATGGCCTACCTGCCTGTCAGCCTTCCATCTGTTGCACAAACTTATCTCGTTGCCATCATTGGTCATGTGCGCGTTCGTGTGTGTTGGAGGAGGGGCTCTGTAAGGAAGTGGCAGATTTTCTCCGGTTGTGTATTTTCAAATTCTAGCGATCTCGAGCCGGTTTCTCAAACTTACCTACCCCACCTTTAAGATCTGTGGGTTGAACAATGTTTGAAAGAACACTTGGGTACATAAATTACTTCTTCCGTCTTCAAGTGATTTATTTTTCAGTTAGTCACATCACCCTCTTATAGTAACCATGTGATATTTAAACACTAATGCAAAACCAGAATGTATTTCTCATCTCAGTGGTGGAGATGTTTAACAACATATAGTGTTAAAATATTAGGTTAGTGAAAACATTATACATTATTATAGTGTGTGTGTGTGTGTTACAGTGGTTCAATTTCCCATTTTCTCCACAGGACCATCAACAAAGAGCAGTTCCAGCGAAAGAAGAACGACACACTCGACCCTGAGTTGTACGTACCCCTTTTTTACTCATTAATAACCATTGCCACCATCCCTGTGATCCTTTAAAATCTGTAAAGTTTACACACTTTGTTAAATTGCATCATGATTTCAGATTTAAAAACACTTCTTTAGCCACTTAAAACAGGTTCTTATAGAAGAAAAAAAGGATTATAACAGGGTTCTTACGGTCATTAAAAACCTGGAAAAGTCATGGAAATTCAAAAAGCTAATTCCAGGCCCTGGAAAAGTTATGGAAAACAATATCTTTTCCAAAGTTTTGGAAAAGTCATAGAAATGTAACTAAAGTTGCATCAAATATAATTTATATTTTATCTCCGAAATAGTAATACTATAATGATAATAAATACTGTATCGTATAGTAATGAAACGTAAAATGGCATTTAACTGACGAGGTGTTTTGCTGGTGAGAGATTTGAGTTGCTTTATCCTGTAGAAGCTAGTAAGCCTACTATTTGATTTGTTTTAGATAGGCTCAACATGTTTCATATGCAGACCTTATTTTCCTGTTCCATGTTAAAATAAAAAAAAATCAGTGGTACCGCTGAAAGTAATTTTTTTGGTCATGGAAAATTAGGTAAAGGTCATGGAAAAGACATTGAAAATCATTGGTGAAAAAGTGTATGAACCCTGCTATAATACTAATAAATTCCTTTTTTCATTTAAAAAATAGATTTAGATATCATTTTTTTAAAGTATTTTGTTTATTTAGCATCTCTATATCTTCTTTAGAGGATCAAACAGGGTATATTCTATACTGTGGGACACGTTGCGTTATTAACTGTGGACATTGTGTCTGTCTTTTGTCTCCCGCGCTCTCTTTTCTCAGACTTGTGGAATGTATTGACTGCGATCGTAAAATGCACCAGATCTGCGTGCTGCATCATGACACCATATGGCCTTTGGGGTGAGCCAACTATCAAACACACACGCACACACTCTGTACGTTCTGTTTCTCTATGTCACTGGGTCTGGAAAATAAATCTGACCTTCTTTGTTTTTCTTTAAAAAAAAAAATGAAAAAGCTTTAGATTCATCCAAAGCATCAATAAAGGTGCTCGGAAAAAGTACTAACACACATGAATACACATTTTGAGGTATCTGTGGAGTAGCTTTTAAACATAAATGTTTATAATCACAGACTTTTAGCTGCAGTTCGAGCAAAGTGTTGTATCTGAGAATGTTATAGGAGTCTAAAGAAGGGAAAATGCAACAGACAATCATACAAAAAGAAAGTCTTGCCACTGGAGTGAAGAGTCGTCATTCCTCAGAGTTTGACTTCCTTCATGTGTGGTCTGTTTGCAATTTAAAAGAGTCATTAAAGCTGATTTAAAGAAAGGACATTAAAGACATCTCTTAATTGAAACCACTTAATCTGTCATGTTGCTCTACGTTAACCTTTAAATGTAACCGTTTACTCTTTTCTTTCCCCCGTACAGCTTTACATGCGACAACTGCCTGAAAGCGGCCAACAAAACGCGGAAAGAGAACAAATACGCAGCCAAAAGTAAGTGGATTAACTCTGAGCTACTGGATCATTTCATGCCTGTGTTTTACGGCCCTGTCGTTTAGTTTTTATCCTATTTGTATCATGTATTAAATGAAGTCAGACCGGGGGGGGGGGGAACAGAAATCCTTTATCCGTCCCACAGTGGGGAAATGTATATTGTAACAAATGGACAGATAAATGGCAAAATCATGAAATAATGATAGCATATAATCAGTAATCAATAATCAGCTGTTAAAACTGGATGTGAATCTAACGAGTCGATTTAAATTCTGGATTGAGTACATATTTTTGCCGATTTAAGGATCTCCTCTAGTCTGCTCGGTGCTAATAAAGGCGGTTTGGTAAATTGAGGCTTAAAAGCAGACTAAAACATATTTTGTAAAAATAAATATTAGTTTTTTGGCGAATTTGAGAAGGTAGAATTCTCGATACTTTGATAAAGCAATTGTTTTCTTCATCCCTATTGATCTAAAAGTTCAGGAAGAGGCAGTGAGGGTGATTCAAATATCCATAGCTGCATTCGGTACATATTACATTACATCTGATTTAAAGGTAGGGTAGGTCATTCACTTCAGAAACACTTTTTGTTATATTCCATGGAATGCTCTTAACATCCCGATAGCAATGAATACATTAAATGCTTTGACAATAAATACATAAAAAAAATGTCATCTGTGGAAGCCGTAGCGCTGTAAAAAGCACGACCAATCATCTGAGCCGACCTGGGAAAAAAATAACTGGATGGCCTACCTGCCTGTCAGCCTTCCATCTCGTGCACAAACTTATCTCGTGCCCTCATTGGTCATGTGCGCGTTCGTGTGTGTTGGAGGAGGGGCTCTGTAAGGAAGTCTGAAGGAAGGGGCAGATTCAAATTCTGGCGCACTCGAGCTGGTTTCTCCATTCTTACCTACCCTACCTTTAAGCTGACACTCATCTAACAATAAGGGCACTAAACTGTGAAATCAACTCAGAAGAAAAGCCCAAAACCTGCAGCTACATTAGCTTCTAATAAGCCATAGCATTATAAGTGCATATCTCGCTGTCTGTTCCCGCCCTCACTGTATCCACCTCTCCTTCCTCCTCCTCCTCCTCCTGCAGGGCTTCCTCAGACCAAACTGGGGAACTATCTGGAAACCCGAGTGAACGATTACATCAGGAAGCAGAACCTCCCCGAGTCCGGAGACGTCACCATCCGCGTGGTCCACGTGTCGGACAAAGTGACGGAGGTCAAGGCGGGCATGAAGTCCAGGTAGGAGCTCGCTTTTCACTGCTGGGTCGAAAATGGATCTTTGGTTGGTCCATATGCGTCAATCATATTTTAAATGACAGCTTGTTGATAGACTTTCATATCGTCAGGATACTCAAACCTTAATTGAACAGACACATAGAAACACGCTGAGACGACTTCCCGTTCCTAAAGCTTGGTTTTTGTGTTCTTAAATGTCCTGAATTTTTGCTGATGTGAAAGCTGATCCAAATTCAACAACTAAGTGTTCATTTTAAACTTTTGTATATAATGTAGTTCAGAAGTAAATCATTGCATCAAAAGAGTGGCACCTCAGTGGCTTAAAGCTTGGTCTTAGCCTCTACAGTATATAGATATATGTGTAACAATAAGCTTTAATATCTATTGAAACATTTTAAAAACAGATCTGTAGCTGTGTTTGAATTTTTGCAAAAACATCTTGAATATGGGCTTCTCCGAGTTAGTTTCCCGTGGGTTCTGACCAGCAGGGGGCGCTAGATGCTGGACTGGTTTCCACACAGCACTTCCTCCATGCCAATGCAGAAACACATGCTTAAGGATGTTGTTACCAGGCAACAGCTGGTTGGCCATGGTACACAGCAGAGTGGATATTAAGCTGTAGCAAGAATGTAATTACTTTATTTATCCTGTGGAGAAATTGGGTTTGACAGTTTCTCCATTTTAGAATGAAATAAATAATGGATAAAAATGGGTACATTTATTTGAAGTTAGAGTCAAATATAATTTTAAACACATGATAGTCAAATGTGCACATTGCACTATCAAAATATTTATTCAAACATAAAAAGTTGAAGTAACATTTTCAATAAAAGATTAATAAATAAAAATATTGATATAAAAGTTTAAAATTCTCGGGTAATAATGTTGTGAAAGCATCAATGCTCAATCCCATAAAATGTTACATACCGAGGTATTTGATCAAAGTATTGCGATAATTGATTTTATTGTTCCAGCTCTGCTTTCAACACTAAAGCTCCATAGAGAAGCTAATTATGCCTCGAGCATTAAAAACATTTTAGATATGATCTATGTTTGCACACCTCCCCCTTATTTGAGATATTTTGAACATGGTAAAGAGTTTCTGATTCCATGTCCTGTATTTTCCTCACCGTGGCTTTCTGTTCTACCTCCAGGTTTGTGGACAGCGGGGAGATGTGCGCCTCCTTCCCCTACAGGATGAAAGCCCTGTTTGCATTCGAGGATATCGACGGAGCTGACGTGTGTTTTTTCGGGATGCACGTCCAGGAGTACGGCTCCGACTGCCCGCCTCCCAACCAGAGGAGAGTTTACATCTCCTACCTGGACAGCGTTCACTTCTTCCAGCCGCGACTCATCAGAACAAATGTTTACCACGAGATCCTGCTGGGATACCTGGAGTACGTCCGGAGGATCGGGTAAGAGAACAACTAATTTGACTTTGTGTTTCTTGCATGCATATGAAATAAAAAGGAGATAAATGTACTTTTTTTCTAATTAATACTGTTGGGAAAATACTGAATGTGATCAGAGTCCACATGATAACAAAGGTATCCGAACTGTAGCTGTGTACATGACAGGATGTATGATTACCTAGAAGAGCATCAGGACTGTTTGAGGCATATGATAGCTATGTGATTAACATGATGATTCAGCCTCTATGGAGATAGACATATGACAAGCATGATCATTTCTGACGTGGAGCTAATCTGAAGTAAACATTGAATACTGCTTTCTATTCCTCCATCTTGTGACTGTGTAACTCCCTCTCTTGGATATCAGCATGTGAAGGACACTGTTCAGGAACTAGTTGATGCTCTGTATGTGATGACTACTTCCATTCTGGAGAGGATCAGAAATACATGGATCCTGAGATTGAAGCTCAAGCCAGTGATATTTTTCTAACAAATACATGCCTCCTTCTGTCAGGTATACGACGGGTCACATATGGGCCTGTCCACCCAGTGAAGGCGACGATTATATCTTCCACTGTCACCCCGCCGACCAGAAGATCCCCAAACCCAAACGGCTGCAGGAGTGGTACCGGAAGATGCTGGACAAAGCTGTGGCTGAGCGCATCGTTCACGACTACAAGGTGAGACACGATTTCACTTCAAGTTATTGCTCAGACCTAGTAAAGCTATTGCACTGGACATATTCTGAGATCGTTTTCAGTGGTCAAGAATAACATTTGAACTTTAGATGAATGTTTTATTTGCTAAAATAGTGAAAAGACTCATTTAAAAAAATGACCATAAAGACGTTACAACTCATAAACACATTTCTCTTTGTTTCTCAGGATGTCTTCAAGCAGGCGACAGAGGACCGGCTGACGAGCGCTAAAGAGCTTCCGTACTTCGAGGGCGACTTCTGGCCCAACGTCCTGGAGGAGAGCATCAAGGAGCTGGAGCAGGAAGAGGAGGAGAGGAAGAGGGAGGAGAACAGCACCTCGAACGAGTGCACAGACGTGAGTACAACAAGAGTCCACATCATCATCATCATCGTGATTTTGGTCATGTATTGAAATTGACTTTAAAACATGTATTTGCAGGTGACGAAAGCAGACAGTAAGAATGCCAAAAAGAAGAACAATAAGAAGACCAGCAAGAACAAGAGCAGCCTGAGCCGAGCCAATAAGAAGAAACCGGGGATGCCCAACGTCTCCAACGACCTCTCCCAGAAACTCTACGCCACCATGGAGAAACATAAAGAGGTGAGTCCACTTTGATTACAGCTAAAGCAGGACCAGGGGGTCTGCGGGGTCTTAAAAAGTATTTAAAGTTGATAAATCAATTTAGCGAAAATGAAGGCTATTAAAAAGTATTAAACGGCATTTCCCAAGGTATTACATTTTGTAGCTTGTTTTCAATAAGTATATCAATTGTCCAAAGAGGTTGTATTCTACAGTGTGCCTGAATGTAATCATTGCGTAGGTGTGTAGTGTGATTCTGTGTAGTTTATTTATGGCATCCCGTTGGATGTGACGTCATCTGAACAGGACATCGCACGCTCACTGCTTGATAGCGCGCGAAGGTCCGTTTACGCCGGTTGTTAAACAACATCGTTATGGGGAAATGCAAGTCTGCGTCCAAATGGTTGGAAGATAAGGAGGAAGGACAATCAATACTGTATATAGTCAATGTGAGGTAAAGTGTGTCGCCAAGGTAACCGGTTAAAACTCCAAGTGGCGATGAGGTCTTAAAATGTATGGAAAGGGTCTTAAAAAAGGTCTTAAAAGGGATTACATTTGACTTCAGGATTCCTGCATATACCCCGAGTACTGTCTTTAGTTTAAATGGCATAATTATAACAACATTATGTTGCCTTGTGTCGTCAGTTATCACATTGACTCCACTTAATGAATGAGGAACATAACAATTCTGCGTTTAGAGAGGATAGCATCACAAGGGCTCCCTCGACATAAAGCAATGGTATTCTTTGATTAGATTTTGGAATATTGTATATAATAAATTAAATCTGTGGCATACACATGTTTATCATACTTACACGTTTTACTCAGCAGGATAATCTCCTCATATTAACACCCCTTTATGATTGTTGACGCGTAAATGCAATCACCAGAAGTAAAAAGCGAACGTTAGGCTATAAAGGAACTACATCCCGGTCACATGACTTCACGTCACCCCCACTAAGCTAAGAGGCTAATGTGACAATTCGGACTCATTTCTGCACCGCGTTATCAGCCACAGTCCCTGCTACAGATTGGTTGCTGCTGTTTTGAAAATGTTCACACAGTGTGCACCAGAGAGGCCCACAGCTTTTTGAGGGAATACCATATACAGAAAAGCAAAAAGCCTTTGCTAAAGAATATTAAAGTTTTAATTTTCAACACTGCAAGAAGCACTTTTGTTCACTTTGTGTTTATATTTAACTAAAACCCCCAGATAAAACGGACAAGAAAATATATATACTTAAACATTTAGAAGGGAAACTAAAGGAATCATGTGTTGACAAACTTGTATGCGCTGGAGGATAAAAAGCTCATAATGAAACCCTGTCTGTACGAAGAGCCCGATTCCTCAAGCTGACCCTCTCCTCTTTCTAATCCCCAGGTCTTCTTTGTGATCCGCCTCACCGCCGCCAACTCGCTGCCCCCCATCTCGGACCCCGACGGCCTGATGGCCTGCGACCTGATGGACGGCCGCGACGCCTTCCTCACTTTAGCCCGGGACAAACACCTGGAGTTCAGCTCCCTCCGGCGGTCCAGGTGGAGCTCCATGTGCATGCTGGTGGAGCTGCACAACCAGAGCCAGGACCGCTTCGTCTACACCTGCAACGAGTGCAAACACCACGTGGAGACGCGCTTCCACTGCACCGTCTGCGAGGTAAGGAACACGCACTCTCTCAAATCCTGCTTTTCTGACTGGAGATCAAACTATAGCAGGAAAAAAGTGATTCTGTGGATATTTTAAATGAAGTCAAAAGTCGGGTTTAGTGTTGACAAGATAGACAATGTGTTCCCTCTCTGAAATCACTTATTGAGAATTTCAATATAGCTAAACATACTGTTGTCTTTGTGTTATCAGACAACTTGTTCACTGTAAAACATTTGTTATATATATCCAAGTTAGATTAAAGTTTTCCTTGGTTTCCGATTAGCATTTATGAGTTGTGATCAAATCAGTGTTTTGCACATGATTTAGAACTTCACAAAATATGAGTCATAAAATCCGATTTGAAGCATTTAAGTTGAACATGTATAACTGACTCCAGTTCTTGGGTTCATACTTATTTTCCCATCTTTCTTCTCCCCCTCTCTCCTCCAGGACTACGACCTGTGCATCACCTGCTACCACGCCAAAGGTCACGAGCACAAGATGGACAAGCTGGGTCTGGGCCTGGACGACGACAGCAACAACGCGTCGGCGGCAGCGACTCAGAGCCCCGGAGACTCTCGCCGCCTCAGCATCCAGCGCTGCATCCAGTCGCTGGTCCACGCCTGCCAGTGCCGCAACGCCAACTGCTCGCTGCCGTCCTGTCAGAAGATGAAGCGCGTGGTGCAGCACACCAAGGGCTGCAAGAGGAAAACCAACGGCGGCTGTCCCATCTGCAAGCAGCTCATCGCGCTGTGCTGCTACCACGCCAAACACTGCCAGGAGAACAAGTGTCCCGTCCCGTTCTGCCTGAACATCAAGCAGAAGCTCCGTCAGCAGCAGCTGCAGCACCGGCTCCAGCAGGCGCAGATGTTGAGGCGGAGGATGGCCAGCATGCAGAGGGTGGGGCAGGCGGCCGTCGGTCCTCCAGGAGCTGTAGGACTTCCTTCACCCGGGAACAACGGTACAGCTCCCAGTACCCCGACATCTGGAGGAACACAACCTCCAACACCGCAGACGCCAACTCAGACCGGGCCTCCACCAACGCAGCAGGGAATGGGTCAGCAGCAGCAGCAGCAGCAGCAGCAGCAGCAGCAGCAGGGTGGGGGAATGCCTCCACAGAGCGGCATACCTCCTCACAACCTCCACCATCAATTCCAGCAGATGCAGGGTGGAGGAGGCGGGGGGATGATGAGCTCCCCCCCAACATCAGATGCTCCCTCAGATCCAGCAGCAAGGTGGAGCAGGGAACCCGCAGCAGCACCACCAGAACAATCTGCCTCCATATGCCGGCCGGCCCCCAGGGTCCTCCCCGCTCCACCAGTCTCAGGGCAAACCGCTCCTCGGGTCCGCCACGCCTCCCCAGCAGCAGCAGCAGCAGCAGCAGCAGCAGCTCGGAGGCATGCAGGGAAACGTTGGGGGGCCACAACCTCCCAACCAGCCCCAGGGCCCGTCCTCCCTGCAGCAGCACCCCCCCTCCGGACCCCCACCTGCAGCGGTGGAGATCGCCATGAAGATCCAACAGGTGGCGGACGCCCAGAGGAAGATGGCTCTGCAGAGACAAGCTGCTGCAGGTTTGATGCCCTCTCACCCCCACCATCAGCAGGGCCAGGGGCAGCAGATGGCCATGGGGCACCCGGGGGCCGTGGGGCACCCGGGGGCCGTGGGGCACCCGGGGGCCGTGGGGATGGTTGGAGCCCAGGGTCTGCCTCCTCAGAACCAGGCCGCGGTGGCAGCGGCAGCAGCGGCGGCAGCAGCTCGGGCCCACATGGAGCAACAACAAGGGGCTCCACCTGGGATGATGGTTGGTGCCGGAGGGCCCATGCAGCAGCCCCCCCAGCAGGGTAACATGCCGCAGGGCCAGATGCCCCCTCAGGTTCAGCTGCAGCAGCAGAGGATGGGGGCCCCACATCAGAACCCCCAGCAGCAGCAGCAGTGGGCGGGTCAGGGGATTCCCCCCCAGCAGAGGCAAGCTATGATGAACCAAATGAACCATCCGGCCATGACTGCAGCTCAGCAGCAACAGCAACAACAGCAACAACAGCAGCAAATGCAACAACAACAACAACAACAGCAAATGCAACAGCAGCAGCAGCAACAACAACAACAACAACAGCAGCAACAACAACAGCAGCAGCAGCAGCAACAACAACAACAACAACAGCAGCAGCAGCAGCAACAAGCCGCCCTGATGAGCATGGCCCAACAGCAGCAAGGTGCTGGAGCCGGTATCCCTGGAGTTGCCGGTGCCGCCGCGACGTCTGGGGATAAAATCCCCCAGGAGGCCCTGCAGGAGCTGCTGAGGACCCTCCGCTCGCCAAGCTCTCCGCACCAGCAGCACCAGGTCCTCAACATCCTGCGCGCCAACCCACAGCTCATGGCCGCCTTTATCAAGCAGAGGGCCTCCAAATACAAGGCCCCGGGAGGAGCGGGCGGTGTCCCCGGGGGACCTCCAGGAGGGCCTGTGGGGAGCGTCATGCCGGGAGGAGGCGGCCCCCAGGTCAACATGAGCGCTGCAGGAGGAGGACAGCCCGGGATGCACATGGGTGGTCAGGGAGGAGCGAATGTTAACATGGCGACCATGGCCCAGCAGCTACAGCAACAACAACAACAGCAACAGCTGCATCAACAACAGCAGGCGCAACAACAGCAACAACAACAACAACAGCAACTACAGCAGCAGCAGCAACTACAACAGCAGCAACAGTTGCAACAACAACAACAACAGCAACTACAACAACAACAGCAGCAACAACAACAACAGCAGCAGCAGCAGCAGCAGCAGAGGCCGATGCTCAGCAGTTTACAGCAGCAGCAGGTTGCCGTTCTCCAGCAGCAACAACAGCAGCAGCAACAACAACAAGGTGCAGGGAGAGGGATGCAGGGCCAGGGGGGCCAGATGGGAAATATCAACAACCCTCAGTTCAGAGAGCTACTCATGAGGCGGCATCTCCAACAGCAACAACAGCAGCAGCAGCAGCAACAACAACAACAACAACAACAGCCGCAACAACAGCCGCAGCAGCAGCAGATGGGAGTGAGTCACGGTCAGTTCCAGCAGCCGCAGCCCCCCCAGCAGGGCTACATGGGGCAGGCTGGGATGCAGCCTCCTACAGTTGGCCAGGGGCCTCCAGGAGGGCAGCCTCTTGGCCCCCAGCAGCCCGGGGGGGGGTCCTCAGGGCCAGCAGGGTCCTCAGGGCCAGGGTTACTCAGTGGCGCAGCAGCAGGCCCTGCAGCAGCGGCTGCAACACCAGCACCACCTGCAGATGCAGCAGCAGAGCGCCATGTCGGGCCTGCAGGGCGGTGACGCAGGTCCTGGTGGGGGGGGGGGGTCCTCAGCAGCCCCCCCAAGGGCCACAGCCCCCTCAGGGCGGACCCCCATCGTCTCAGGCTCTGCTCCAGCAGGCGCTCCACCAGCGGCTCCTCCAGCAGCAGCAGCACCTGGGCCCCGGGGGGTCTCCGGCGCACAGCAACCCCATGAGCCCCCAGCAGCCGCAGCAGATGGCTCAGTCTCCGCACCCCCACCCGCACCCCCACCTCCAGAACCAGGCGCTGTCCTCGTCGCTCGCTAACCAGGTCCGGTCTCCGCAGCCGTCGCCCCGGCCGCAGTCGCAGCCGCCGCATTCCAGCCCGTCGCCGCGCATGCAGCCGCAGCCGTCCCCGCACCACATCTCCCCCCAGATGCAGACCGGATCCCCCCATCCGGGCCACATGAGCCAGCACCACCCGGGGATGGTCCAGCAGCAGCAGCAGCAGCAGCCAGGGAACCAGCAGCAGCAGAACTCTATGGATCAGTTTGGTTCGGACCCGAGCGCCATGATGTCGCAGCTGAGCGGCATGGCGGGTCTCCACGGGCCGGGGGGGGGCAGCGGGCAGGACCCTCTGGGCCAGAACATGAATCACAACCCTTTGGACATCATGTAGGAACTCAGTCGTGATTCTCCGCACAAACTGCACTCACCCAGGACAGTGTTATTGTTACCTAGCCTTTCTTTTATTTTATACGATCATTAAATGTTATTTAAAATGTTTTCAATAAAGATGCATTGAACTGAACTTCCTATGGGAGATGAACAATAAATCAAAGCAGTCGTTAAATAAATTAGAATAAATGAATTGTAAGTTATTGCTGTTAATATATTTTTTTGCCAATTGTGGACAAAGAAGGGGGTTTCTCTAAAGCGCCCCCCCCACTCACCTCCACCTCTCGCTGAATACAAGAAAGGTGATATTTTCTGGGAGGGAGGGGGGTTAATCGGCCCTTTTTTAAGAAATGTTTTTAAGATTTTAAAAGTGGTCAAGATTAAATGATTTAATGCAAAGAACTTTTCTATCGGTTTGATTTCCCGTCATTCCTCCAGTCCGTCTTTCGGCTCTGCAGAGTGATGAGGATTATTATTAATGTAAATCCAAACATGATGCATATCTTCATTTTTTATATATATATTTGGGTTTATTTATTGTTTTCTCCAGGGGGGGGGAAGGGGGTGTTGCGGAGGTGTTATGTACCCTGAGACTGCTACAATTCGTATAGAAATATATTTTTGTTATGACTGTTATGACGGGGGGGGGGGGGGGGGGGGGGTAGTGGATATTTCATTTAGGTGGGAATAATCAAATGTCAGTGTTTTATCGCGGCGGCTGTGAGACGGACATGTTGTGACGCCGGTATCGGCCATCGCGATGGACTTTCCCCGGCAAACATGCAAACCCCGTCCCTCGAATGTGTGTGCACTCCCTCCTTTTTAAAGACACTTAATACAGTGGAGGCTTGGGGAGGGGGGGTGCATACCTGTGTGCCTGAAACATTTTGCGTACATGGGCTGGGATGTGAAAATAACGGGTGAGGTGGGGTCCTTTTTTTTTTTAGTGTTTTTAATTTAGTTTTTTGTTTTTTTAAGGATTCTCGGAACAGAGGATTTTGATCCAAATGAACTGTGTTGCACAGAAATGAGGAGAAAAAGGAGAAATCGCTCTCCGTCTCTTTCTGCCTCGTCCCCTTTGCTGCTCCCCTCAGACTTTAAATCCTTCCTCCTCCTCTTCCTCCTCTGTAGGGGAAGTTGCTCCCCCTCCCCTCAAACTCCATCCTCTTCATCTTTCTGCTAAGAACTTTGGGAGTTTAATTTAATATTTTTTACTGTACAAAGGAAACACAAACTGTGGACTCAAATACTGTTTTTTATAATAAAATGAAAATTACCAACAGTGACGTGTCCGGCATGAGGCTGTCTGTGTGAGGCATGGGAAGTGGGCGAGAAAGCCAACTGTAGAAATACTCCATTACAAGTAGGAGTACTGCATTTAAAATGGTACTAGGTACAAATATATAGAACGCAAAAAAATACTTTGAAATGTGCAAAATGTAAAAAGGGCTTTAAACTTGAAGGATTGTTACTGGTTTGATATATGTGCCTCTCTTCTTTAGAAGCTTTGAAATCTGGCACTGATCTTAGCTTGATTTGTTTGGATATTATTTATAATGTTTCAATTATTTGAGTTAACTTGCCAAATGCTGAGTATTTTACACACTCAGCTGTAAGTAAAATTATTGTGTTCAAATCCTTAAGTAGAAAGAAGCATGTAAGTATACGCAGAATGCTCTTAAAGTATTAAAAATGAGGATGTGCTGTTAAATGTTCCCTGTTAAACATAATCAAAGCTCTACTTTTATATAGTATGTTATTTGAATCCAGACCTCTTTGATCACAGCTGGTTTGGTTTATACACACACACACACACACACACACACACACACACACTGCTGCTTCTCCTCAGACATGAGCTGCGATTCACTGGAAACTCGTCGTCTATGACGTCACTTACAGTAATGTGTCTTTCCTGAGAGCAACACGCCCCCTGGCGGCGACACGTGGTACAACTACTGTTAACTATCAAAGCAGTTTTCAAAAAAATGTTTTCAGACATGGTAAAAGCGAAGCAGGTGAAGAAACATTTTTGGTTTAGTTTAGTGTTGGTCGTTGAGAAATGACCCAAACAAAATGTGATAAATTATCCTTTTTTCCCGCTGTTTTTTAGTCATAAAAACACAGGAGAAAAGAGATTAGAAAATGAATCTAATAGAATATAAAAATATAATCTTCCTTCCTTTTCAGGACGGTTTTTTTTTCCTCTTCTGTACCAAAATCAGACATTTCAAATAGTAGCTGCAGCACTCACTTCTTAAATGAAACATCATGTTGATGTTGAGTAATGCCACATAATAAATAGACTCAATGCAGAGTTATTTTAATACATATTTATTGGAAATGTCGAAATAAAAATACATTTTTCAAGAGAAGACATATGTTTGACAGTTTATCTTTGTCAGAGAAAGACACATATAAGTGACATAAGTTAGTTTAGCTTATACATGTGACATGCAATAAATAAATGGTCATTACAGTCGAACCTAATGCACATTTGCTTCCTTTATTACACATCGGAGCAGCGGCGGTGTAAACTGATATCTCCTCTTTTGAAATACACAAAGGCTAGTGAAAAGATTGGACTCAATTGGTAATACAAAAATAGAACCAGGAAGTATTTCATGCTTTAAAAGCAAAAGGACAGACGACAGCAAACACAACTGTGTACTTAATTTTGTGCATCTTAGCCTCCTTGAAATGCAGAACTTCATCTAAGCGGCAGACATTCATTTATTTCCTCTTTGTTTTATGTCTTTTGTGACAGAAATAAACCCCTTCAACAGACAGCAGGACAGTGCTCTGTGTGGCACAGACTGACAGGGCATGCAGGAATCTCTCTGTGAATACTGGAAAACATAAAGAATAGAGCAACATCTCTACAAAACGTTATTTGTAAGAAAAGAGGCGACTGAAACAGGCCCCGAGAACAGATTTGAGCGCCTGGCTGGAAAGCACTGAGGACGACCGGAATATAAGTAGCTGCTGCATGGAAGTAGTAATGTGCACTGTTACATATGCTGTCAGTCAGTAGTCCAGGCGACCCCTGGAATGAAACCTGCCACTGATATCTATGTATTCCTCTGGAGTGCTATGGATGATTTGAGGATATTTTTGGGGCCTCTGGCTTCCTATCGCGCCTGATAGAGTGGTGCAGGAATGAGTCCTGAAACCAGTCAGCATTTTAACGCTTCTGGTTTCCCTCATTTAAAACTCAACGGTATTTCTAACGTGATTGTGGTTAGATGCCTCAATTAGTTGGTAAAAAACTAGCTTAAGAGATTTTTATGGTTTGTTTTTTAAGTCATGTGACCATGCTGTAGTTTGTTTTCAGCCTAAAGTTAGTGTTTTTCTTCTGGCGATTGCATTTACGCTTCAAAATACTTCAGTAAATACACCACTGGTACATTTCTGAAGCCCTTATGTGTGAGTGATTGTTAAGAAGAGTCTAAAAAAGACTACTTAACGTCAACTTTACTGTAGCAGCCGTTAGCTTAGCGGTGGAGACGTAGGCCGTTTCTCAATCGCGAGGATGCTGGCTTGGTAGTCGCGTACATATTTACCAACACATGTTCTACGCCACTACATACTTACATTTAAATGTGTGCTGCGTCGGTTCAGCCATTCTCTGCAAGGGTTTTTTTAATTGGACCGTGCGCAAAGCATTGTGGGGATTTTAAGGACGCGAAGTCTACCCATGTGCAGCCTCGAAATTTCCCCCAAACCAAGGACGCGGCCTCGGGGGAATCCCAAGTATGCTGGAGATTGGAACAGTCCTTCGGCGGCACTCGATGACGTAGCGTCCTTGAAATATTGGCTTGGAAGCCAATATCCTCGCGATTGAGAAACGGCCGTAATGTCATGGTTCGTTTGAAGCTAACGTTAGCTTTTTACTTCTGGAGATAGCATTAATGCTTGTAATATCATAAAGTGCCATTAGTATTCAGAGATTATCCTGCTGTATAAGTATCATAAAAATGTGTTCGCCATGGATCTTATTTTCTGGAATATTTTAAATTCCAATGTAAAAATCCCATTGGCTTTTTGTCAGTGAGAAACTCTCGCAATGCTAACTTCCATGTCGGCCTGCAGAAATTCGCTATTACTGCACCACTCTATATATGCGCCACAATAATAAAATGATTTATTTATTTAAAGGCAACAATGTCTTCAGTGAACTCAGTAGGAAATGAGTGTATCTTTGTAAACGTGTGGACTTAACTAACAAACACGACTATTTACACGTATAAAATGAGTGGCAAGTCTACTTATGGTTATTTGAATCTCTCTTTTATCTCAACCTTTAATAGCCCTTGAAGAAGCCTTTGGCCACCGGGGCTTCTTTAATCGTCACTGTCAGACAGTTGATCGTCACGTCAGTAGATATCACCTTTCTGGGATGTTCATCCTCAGCGGGATCAGCAGGCGTTGTTTCCGTTTCGCTCTGATTGTCGCACCCTTCTTCCTTCTTATTCGCCGGCTCCTCAGTGGTGGAGTCTGTAGTGTCGCTGCTCCCTCGGAGACTCACTATCACCGAAGTTGTGTTGTTGCGTCGAGAAATGCTGCTCTCCAATTTGGGACACTCCGACTCTACTTCATCCTCACTTTTGAACCAATCTGACTCCACAGAAACCTCATCGTCCAGTGTAGCCTTGGGAGTTGAATCACTGTCTTTTGATTGGTCGCACACAACGGTTTGAATCGTTTCCGAAGTCCATCCTCCCGGTCTGTCAGTCCATGTTTCTGTGCTCACCGTTGCCAGCTCGGTGTCCGACTTCTCCTCCTCCTCCTCAGTCTCTAAGTCCTCTCGCTCCAGCAAGGGTGGGGAGCTGCACTCTGCCCGACATTAAAGAAAGAAAATGGTGTTCACCTTCAAATGTTCAAAGGGTCATGACCATGGATGTATAATAAGAACTGGATACAGCGTGGGAGGCGGGGCCTCGTTCATTCCTATGAGAGTTGCTCATTGGCGCGTGAAGACAAAATGGCCCAACTTTTGAGAGAGCGAAACGTCACGAAAGTATTCATATAATCCGTTCTTATTGTGCATCCATGGGTAAAAGTAAAACTCATATAGTACTGAACACGTCACATGAACGTGCCAGGCGGCGCGGTCCCGTGGGTTAGATGCGCGTTCATAATGCTGAGGGAAATAACTCTCAGAATAACGTTATTAGCACATTTTACAACTTGAGGACCGAATGTTTTTAATAAGGGCTATACAAATGTTCATACTGGGTCGTTTATTTAGTTTAAAAAAAATTATCCAACGATTTACAGACGTCTCTTTCCCAATGTTAGTCAATGGGAAAAAGTGTTTCCGGGCCCAGCGACTGATACGGAAGTGTAGTACCGCCGTTTGGCCACAACGAATGTTTTCCTCAGAGTCCGGCGCACTTCCTAGGTGCTTTGTCATGACCACGTGAATTAATTTCTAAGTGATTAACTTTACAAACCATAGAAACTGTCTTCACACGTCTCCTCTGTGATGCTTTCGGACTCTTGCTTCTCTTCTTCGCTGGTGCCACTCCAGTCTTCCTCAATGGGTTCCACTCTCCTCGTCTTCAGGGGGTGGATATCTTTCTTTGAGGGTCCATCAGACCCACATATGGACACCCTCTGTCTGCTCTTCCTCCGGGCCAGACGTCGGTACAGACTGCCTCGTTCACCCTGGTCCACATCTGTACTCATGGATCGGGTGAGGGAGAGTCGTAATCGAGGGGGGGGTTTCTCCGAGGCCTTGCTTGCACTTCGGAGGTCCATGGCAAAGATGTTCTGTGGCAGAGCAAAAGTCCCAAATCATTAATGTGTTCATTTTGAGACAACAGTTAAACAATGTTAGAGACACAATTCTGTCAAATGTGCAGAAAACTACCTGAAGTGTCATACTTACATTTGTCCCGAATGAAAAACATGTCGCTAAGCTAATGAGTTTATTTAGGAGTGTTGCATAAAGCTTATTTTTTTCAGTTTTATCAGTGCCTGTATGTATAGAGTTATGTGTATACGGTAGTTTAGATATGCACTTCAGTTACCATTGTTAGGCTTTACTCACTTAATAGCATTACGTAGCGTCTTTTTTTGGCAGAAAGGTGCTGGCTGGTTGCTGGGCAGAAACTCCCAGCGTTTCATTGAAAATATCAGGGAAGCTCTTTCTTTAATGAAACTCTGCAAGGAGAGTCTGCCCAGAGTCCAGCCAGTGTCTTTCTTCCAGAAAAGATGCTATGTGGACACAGGGCCTTAGCTAGCTTCTTCAAAGTGGACAGAACAGTGAAAATGAAAAAATAAATAAAGCCAAACTCAGGAACAGAAAATGAGAATGATGTTCCCCTTAAAGAATATGAAAAGGTCAAAGTTCATTTTTTGTTGTTTTAGATACGCACCATTAGAAGATGTGGCAAGAAGTAGGCTAACTGACAAAACCAATGCGAGAAATCTTGCTCTGAAACGAACCGTAGGTTAAGTAATGAAGAAATATGAAAATATCACTGTGACAAACGAGAAAGGACAAAAACTGGTGAGTTTCAATAAAATGATAAAGATGTTAATATTTTATATGAGGCAGAGTTAGGCTAACATTTAGCTAGCTAGCCACAAAGTTGCTAGTGCGTAAAGGTTTAGCTAGCTAGCTAAAAATGTGCTAGTGCGATAATGTTTGGCTAGCTAGCTACAAAGTTGCTAGTGACAATGCTAACAATATAATGTTGACAATAACCATAACAGCTGCTAACGCATCTTGGTATCTCCTCTTAAAACACTATTAATTCAACCATTGTCTTTTGATCCACAAATGATTTAACTTTTGAGAGAATGGTCACCTACTAGCATCTAGCTAATGGCACACATTTGAGATTACGGAAATGTTTAGATTAAAATTCGAAGGAAATTTGGCCCAATTGGTGTTATGAGACCTAGCAGTGGGGTTATTGCCATTGAATGTAAATACTGGAAAACTTTGTGACACAAAGGAAATGTATGGAGAATGGAAAATATGTTTCATTGTTCTTACCTTCAACAAAGAGAAAAACTAAAAATAATTGATCCTACTAAGTATTCATCTAATGTAATGTAATGTAATATTCATCTAAAATGCTAGCAGGCTTCAGAGTTGATTTGAAGTACAATGGCTATTACCAAGCAGGTAGAGTCAGATGAAAGATGCTAGAGTAGCACATTGGGAAATGGGCTTTACCCATACCAGTGACCAAAAGTCAGGATACCTTGGACTCTTTGGTTAGGTTTGCGAGTTGGATTGCAGAATCTACTGGCCTGATTTTAAGGAAAACTGGTGGTATGGTGTAGCATCATTTAAAAACAGATCTGAATCACAGGGCTACACACATTATTTCCCCCCCATGGAAACCGCCTTGGGGGAGGTCTGTACTGTCCGAGTCCCCAAGAGGTGAGTGAGTTGTGTGGGGAGTTAGAGGGTCCTCCTAATAGTCTACTTTTACAACCAACGATTGTTATATATTTAGATAAACAAACTCCTCACTGAGCAGTCAAAATGAGTGGAGAAAGAAACAACAAAGACATGTGAGACTAGAACAAAGGTTAGTGTGCAGTCAGAATTGGTAGAGAAAGGTACAACAGAGTCAAGTGAGGATGAAGGTGTCTTCTCACCCGCAGGAGGAGCCTCCTGGGTCTGAGACCTTTCCTCCGGTACGCCAGAGCTCTGATCTTCTGCTGACTGGAAGAAGGAAAAGGAAACAGAGGGAAGGAGAGAACAGAGAACAAGTGACGAAGAGAAACAGATTGTGAGCTAGAAAACATAAACGCTGTGCAAGCATAAAGTAAAAGCTCTCAAAGATTACTCACTGCTCTTCGTAGGCCAGGACGAGGCGCGGGTCCAAAATATTGTCCTCTGGTTCCCAAGTACTGTATCTGCCAACACACACACATTTAATTAAGTCAGTCTATCTATCCCTCCGTCCATCTACCCATATATCTGTCAGTCTTTTGAAAGTCTCTAAGAAATATTCTATAAATAAAACTTGTCATCCTTGTTTAGACAGTCATTGGTGAAGAATAACCACATTTCTTAAAAATAGAATAAAAAACAAAACAAATATATACATATGCACAGTAGAAAATACATATATTCAGAAGAGTATCTAAGAATACACACTATGAGATATACAGAATCAATTCCAATCCTGTCTAATATCCAAATCTACAAAACGGACAGAAAAAAAAAAAACATGTTGTACTATATACTTTATAGATGGTGCAGAGTAGCTTTTATATAAAAGTTGAATCCATCCATTCATCTATCCATCTATCTATCCATCCATCCATCCATCCATCCATCTATCTATGCAGCAGCAACGCAGGTATTAGGCAGCATTTTTTTTATATATATAAAAGGGCCACTGAGTTAATATTGAGGCTATGAGGTTCATGATGAGTCAAGGCTTACTCACTTTGGGGACCATCCCTGCCATTTCAGAAGATATTCCACATTACCCTGAGGAGAGAGAGAAAGAGGGGGGAGACAGAGAGTTACTTATTACATTCACCCACATTTCCCCCCTCATTGTGGTGCATTAAGAAGCTAAACGCAAGACCGAAAAAGCAGGACTGTCCCTTTAAGGGTCATACACATTTTAGGCCCTTTTTTTAAATAGTGTGTTTTCATGAGGGGGGGGGTGACGTCAATGACGGGTGACGTGACCGCACATGGGCTCCACGAGCCGGTCTCTACAATGCACGAGCTACTTCTAGAACGCTTTGTGATAGGTGGGGCCACGCGAACATGTAAACAACGTGGTGTTGCGCAACCGGAATGATCACAGTCAGAGAGGAAAATAACAACATGACCACATCCATGGATAAACAAAGTGAGCATGTGGAGGAGAGCTTTTATTTGTGAGCACATTTGTTTTTGTATAATTATTTTGTATTACATCACAATTTATTTTACATTACAGAGTACACTGTATGAGCACATGCTTCGTGAAAATAAGCCTTCAAAATCCACATGTTTCTCCAACGTGAAACAACCATCACGCAGCACCCAGTGTTATTACGCAGCATTTTCCCACCGATTCTCCGCTGCTCACTGGCGTAACTCATATCAAGTGCGTAGCTCCCCTCACTTTGTCCGTAAACGCGTTTTCTGGATACCTACACACCCCCTTCCCCGTCTTACTACAGCTGCGTGGGCATCAAAACATGCTTAACGCTGCAGCATCTCATGCAGCCTCACGGAGAGGCTGCAGGAGGAGACTCCTGCTGTGAAACATTCCTGAACTTTGGCACAGTGGATGGAAATAATAGATATATATCTCGTGCGTAAAGTAGTTTATAAGGATATTGCGTAGCGTAGTTTTGTTGTGTACAGCGAATCGGAACACACTGTTCATTATTTGGGAAAACAAGCAAGTGATAAGTTATGTGTTGTGTGTTATTAGTTTGTCTTACCTTTCTCACTCTCTTCTTAGTTATTGACTCCACAGCAAACACTTGGTCTCCTATGAGTCCTATCGATGAGCGCTCCATCGCTCCAAACAACTACTGGGTCTCTGCTGGTTTATTTGAGAAGTGCCGAAACAAAAATAGTTATATATTACCGGAAAGTGTCACTGCTGCTGCTCTGATTTCTGTTTCTCTCTCTTTCCTCTCTCCAAAAACTCCCTGAACCTGCCTCCCTGACTTTCTGAAATCTGCGAGTGCGACACATCAACACAGGAGGACAAGCCGCGCGCTGCTTTAAGTCCTGCGTACCGCCCCTCCATTGCGTAGGAACCGGTAGGAACGTATGAACCGAGCCCCCAATGCGCGTTCCCGAGACGGCGTGACCGCGTACGCAAATTGGGGCAGAGTGCAGAAGAGGGGCAGAGAGGAGGGTGAAGGGGGGTTGGGGTTGGGGTCAAAACCACAAGGTTCATAAACTTAGTGGGGGATTTCACAAACATTTTATTTTTAAAAACATAGAAATTAATATATTTTAGGAGGAATTCTGACTCAGTGAACACATAGTATACTTATATATATTTAAGATAAGATAATATGAACCTTTATTGATCCCCGTAGGAAATTCAGGTGTCATAGCAGCAACAGAATAAGACAGAAACACAAATAGTACACATAAGAATACAACAACAAAAAAGTAGTAAAAGTTGCTCAACATGTTTTGCACCATGGGAAACATGTCCTAATTATTCCAGTAGGAGGAATTTTAACACAGTGAACTCATCTTTTTATTTTATTTCAGCGCATAACTTGCATTTTTACAGTTTTTTTACTTTACTTTTTAGGAAGTGAAATGCGTTTTAAAAAATTTTTTTTTATAGAAATAATTGTTTGAATGCAGCAAATCAGATGTGTAGCCAAATACCATTATCACAAATGTATTAAAAGGTAATAAAAGACAACAAATCAAAGCCCACTAATTAACATACCATTGGGATTATTATGTGCCCTAGCAGGGAGCATTTAACATACAACAAATAAAATATTCAGCCCAAAGTTTCCCGTAAATTGACAAATTATACACATTTTCTATGGAATCAAGAGCAACGAGTCAGCTGACGGCAGATGTTGTTGGTAATGCATGAAGCCAGGCTAGCTGTTTCGAGTCTTTATGCTAAGCTAGGCTAACACTCTGTTGACTGTAGCCTTAACTTGTCACCAGAAAACACATTTTTATTCCTCACACTATGTCCACCATGTACAGCGACCTTGGGTCCCGTGAAAGGCGCTTTATAAATTCCATTTATTCTTATTCTTATTCTTATTCTGTTAAGATAATTCCAAACAGTTCACGTCAATGAAATCACAACCTAAAACTTGATACAAAGGCTTTCTGCTCTCTCACATGTAACGCAGTAATATGAGGTTTTGCACAGAACACACTGAACTCCAGCCTCACCGTCGAACAGAGCGTTATGTGCTTATGTATTTTTATGTAACAGTAGTAAAGGCAGGAAAGATCAGAATCTGCAATGGAGATGAAAGCCTCGCTTCACTCGCTGCTGGAAATGTTCACCCCTCCAGCCGTGTTTGATCCAAATATGGAACAAAAACATCTTAATTTCACATCCTGAATGCTTAGCAACACCTCTGCAGAGAGCGCAGCTGTAAATAAGACTGAGAACAAACACTGATCCGGATCTCAGCGATAATTAAGACATTAATGATCATTTATGATTATTATATTTAATACTGTACACACACACACACACACACAACTCTTATCCAACTTCATACCTGAACGAGTGAGGACCGGGCATAAAGTGACTGCTATGGAAAAAAGGCCCAGAGCCAATATTTCCTATTATCTTTCAAAGGGGCTAGTGTGTATCAGATTACAGTAAAACTCTCTGTAACTCACACACGCACACACACACGCACACACACACACACACACACACACACACACACACACACACACACACACACACACACACACACACACACACACACACACACACACACACACACACACACACAGTCCACGGACACTGTGCACCTGGATCATTGCATCGCTTACGGGCATTGGGTGTCATGGCAACTGTTTCTATAACTACCACGGAAAAGCTGGATGATGATGATGATGATGATTATGAAGATGATGATGATGATGATGAGACAGCGGGAAAAGTTCAAGGCTGAAGAGTAATCCACCTCTACTGACCCAACTGTGACCTTTGACCTCTTAATACCCAGATTATGTCAGCACAACCAAAACATTCCCATAATAATCAATCATTATTTGCATGGTTATATATAGCATCTGTGGTATTAAGTACAGTAATCCTTTTTGTTGTGTTTTATGGAAGCATGTAGGTGTCTACATCTGTTCACTAGAGTGGTGACTAATAATTGTTCTGATAATTAAGGAATCTTTCAATTATTTTCTCAATAATTTGATGATCGTTTGGTGAATAAAAGATCAGAAAAAACGCAAAAATATCACATGCTTCAACAGCTGAAGTTGACTTTTATTTAATATCTTTGCAACAGTAATCAGTGTATTCAGTGTCTCGTTATCACACAATACAGGAATATTATATCAGATATGTTAGTTAGAAATGTTTTTTTATGTTATGATTAATGGGTTATCAAACAGATACATTTGCTGACAATTGAT